ACTCAAGTATAAAATTTATATTTGTATTCAATTACATTGGAACAAATGGATTTTGAAGCGCCAATCATATTAATAATAAAATTTGTCATAGAGTAAATTGTATGTATAAAATCCTATATGTCTTAATTGATTAAGTATATAAAGCTAAATATATGAGTTTTAATTTGGGTGAAATATTGCAATTGTGATTTGAACATCTTACCTTCGTTAATATATAAATTGTTACTCTCAGCACCCTCCCTTATCAATTCCAATTTCTTTACTTGTTAGTTGTATCTATATAGATTGTCATTTTGTGCCATAGAATTGTCAAGTGAAAAAGCATGCCTTGATATTTATTGTGGCTCAATTGACAAATTACAATGTTCTAAATGACTATGTATTATGATCTAATTGACAAGTCACAGTATAACGAAGTAATAATATGTATAAGCACGATTGACAAATAAAAGAGTTAACATTGATAACGGAAGCTATTGAGGATAAGATTATTGGCTTACAATTACAATTTCTTATCCATAGATCTCTTAAGACTTGAGATTAATTTTAATAATTCAAGAGACCGTATACTAATAAAATCTCTTAATTAAAATCCAAGTGTAATTTTCCCTTTTATTTTTTTTTGGGTAAAAAAACACTTTCTGTTCCCTGTTATTTTCACCTCTCGTCACATGAAGCAAAACAAAAGCAAATCTTGATCTCTCACGGATTTCGCAAAACCGGAAAGAGAAATGAAGGGGTCAATATCTAATCATGTGAAGCTATTGTGTAAGACATTATATATCAATATAATATAAAAGACATGAACTATTATAGTGTCTATTGTGCTTGTTGCCCAAGTCAATCCCTTCTTTGTTGGGAATTATTAGACAAGTAACCTCATGCATGTGATATCCTCTTTATTCCTTTTTATATTATTTTGATTTGATGGATCCATGTGAACCTAGTTGATAATAATGAGGTTCAAATGATGCGAATTTTCGGACTCGTTCTTGAATTTTTTCCCCCAACATTATTTGTAATTTTAAGAATAAATATGTTGATTTAGAAGTAAAAAAGAAAAATGCCCCTTAATGACTGCAATGACTAGTTTATTCTAATTTTAGTGCAAAAAATATTACTCCTTCCATTCTAAATATAGGAATTTATTTCCGGACTAAATTTGATCCTAAATATAATATATTAATTCATTTTATTTTTACTACTCCTCCAATCCTTAATATAAGACCCATTTAACTAATTTGATAAGATTAAGGAAGTTAGGTAAATTAGTTAATTATAAGAAAAGTGACACATTTTTCCTAAAACACCATAATCATCTTTCTTATTACCCCTCTCCCTCTTCTATTTGATTATGGTTGAGAGAGTATCCATAGGGGTAATTTAGATAAAATTGATAAATATAAGAAATGGGTCTTATATTTAGGACCAAAACCAACTCAAGAATTAGATCCTATATTAAGGACCAGAGGAGTATTTATTATTTTTCTTAAATTAATTTACCTCATTATAAATTGATATAATATAATGTTATACAGAAATATCTTAGAAAAATCAGGTCACATTTATTGTAATTAAGTAATTTAGTTTTATTTCTTAATTTATTCAACATAATTAAGTAATTTATGCATTAAAAATAATAATTGTATGATATTAAAAAAATCAAATAAAGCGATTTGTCCCTAGCTTATTTGCAGCTGTTGGATTGAGGATTCAAATTAAACCCATATTTAGTACAGGGAAATTGGAGGGTAGAAGTCGGAAAAAAATTTAAATAAGTTCTATTTAAAAAATTTAAGAAGTGGAGCCGTAAGATTTTGATAAAGGGAAAATATAAAATAAAAAAGTAAGAAAAATTAATTAAAATTTTATAACCCCATTACTTCAATTTTTTTCAATTAAACTCATGAAAATTTTTTCTCTCCTCTTTTTTTTACCACTCCATTTTCCCCGGGACAAAGGAATCCTGCAAGTGGGTAATACTAATAGCTAAAGCCTTAAAGCTAATAATTTTGAACAGGTTTTGAAAAAAGTACATGGATTGGTGCAAAATTTGGACATGTTGCTTCATGTGACCTTTTTATTCCTTTTGTATTACTATTTCTATTGTTTAATATTACCTCCGATCTTAATTATAAGAGCCAATTGACTAATTTGAAGAGATTAACGAAGTAGTTGAGTTAGTTATTGTCCTAAATACGTATTGTCTTTCCTAAAATATCCTTACTAATCAAATATAATGACTAGAACTCTTATTATTATAAGGGCTACTTTGGAAAAAAAATGTATAAATATGAGAGACAAAGTGAATTGAGGGTATTATATTTAGGACTAAAATAAAAGTCAAACAGGGTCTTATATTAAGGACCGGAGGTAGTATAAGAGTTAGTTTGACTTTTAATTTAAATTTAAATATAGGATTTCAATTTACTTTATCTTTAATATTTATTTATTTTGCTTTCAAATAATTCTTATAGTAGCTGCATATATTAAGGATTTACTATCAATTTGTAATTTAAAAACACATGATTAATACTCCTCCAGTCCTAAATATAAGACCCGTATATAGTGTGTATAAGGGTCTTATATTTAGGACCGGAGGAGTAATAGTATTTTAGAAAAGACAATATTTATTTACTTCAAATAACTAACTCAGCTAACTTTCTTAATATCTTCAAATTAGTCAACTAGATCTTATACTATCTCCGATCTTTAATATAAGACCTTGTTTGACTTTTATTTTAGTCCTAAATATAAGATCCCAAGCCACTTTGTCTCTTATATTTATATATATTTTTTCCAAAATAGTCTTTCTAACAATGGTAGTTCTAACCAATGCACTTGATTAGTAAGGATATCTTAGGAAAGACAATACCTATTTAGGACAAATAACTAATTCAACTTACTTCTTTAATCTCTTTAAATTAGTCAGTTAGCTCTTATAATTAAACCGGAGGTAGTATTAAAAACAGGAGTTAGTATTTTGATTTGATGCCAACCTACTTCATCAATCAAACTCCCATCGGTTGGGATGTTTGGACTGAGTCTCATATATACTTCAAATTTTCCCAGTATTATTTCTAATTTAAAAAAAAAAGTTGATTTAAGACTTAAAGGACACAGTGCAAACTACAACGACTTCCCCCATGCAAAAATGTTAACATGATATAAAAAAAAAATACATAAAACTATTTGTCACAGGTCCCAAGTTTATTTAGTGTTATTTTTACTTCTGTTAGCTTTCTTTTGTTCTCACCTATAATTAATTCCTGTTTTTGCCTTTTATTATTGTAACTCTTTAACCCTGTATGTTTTCTCATTTTTAACACGAGCATCATTTCCCCTTTTTCTCAAAAAAAAAAAAAGGTTAATGCTGGGCTGATTAATTCAAAATAGCTAATTTAGGCTGTTTTTTTTTTTTCAGGTGGGTTATAGATGATAAGATTTTGAAAATATGATTGACGGCATTTTTGTGAATATTGGTAGACTTTTCAAATCAGTTCGCCATACATAAAGTCTAAAATAAAGGGACAACAAAGCATAAGTTGGATTATTAGAGATAAAAAATGTTAAGATCGATGTGTGATGATACTAAGCTACTGTTTGGTACGAGGGAGATGGAAAGGAGAGAAGAGAAAGGAAAATTTTAATAAATTTTATTTAAAAAATTAAAAAAGCAGGTTTTAAAATTTTAATAAAGAGAAAAAGTAACATAAAAGAATAATAAAAATTAATTAAAAGTTTTTAACCCCATCTTTTTAATTTTTTAAATTGAGTTTATTAAAATTTTTCTTCCCATTTCTCTCTCTCATATTAAACGGAACATGATGAATAGTTGGCATGAAAACTACTGGAAACAAGTGTGATCGTAGAGACATGGCTCCTCATAGTTTGAAATTATAAGGAGAATTAAATCTACGACTTTCTTTTTATTAAAAAAACTTTCACAGTATTAAATTACAAGGCGATTAATATAGTAGTGATAATTTCAATTAATAATTTTGAACAAATGATGATGGTAGTAAATAGAATTATACAAATGGCAAATAATCCCCTTTCTTCTGTCCTTATTTCAAATTCTTCAAAGAATAATTTGAGGAGTCTTTATTTATTTTATTACATTGGGAGAGTTTCTTAAACATTTAACTAAATGGAGACGGGCTTTTGAGTTTTTTTTTTTTTTTAATTTCGGATATTTCCCAATCACTTTAGGCAACTGAGACTAAAGGAGTGTTTGGGTAAAACAAAATTTTTTAAAAAGTAGTTTTATATTAATCGAGATAAAATTATTTTCGTATATTAATTTCGTATATTATAAAATCACTTTTAAAATTATAATTTAGTTTTTATCTAAATACACTCTAATTCACATAAGGTCGGGAGCGTTCTAGATTGGAGCCTCCTGATTATTGCATTTCTCAAAATTTAAATATAAGCTATTCTAATAAATATGTTTATCAAAATTCAAACTTATCTTTTTTTATAAGATGAAATCGCTAATCATTTCAGCAAATAGCTCGTTAGTCTATCCATTTCTATTTTATTATTATATTAGATATAAACTGAAATCACTATTACCAAACAAGACATGAACATATTAATACTACTTTGGTTTTTAATATACAAAGTTTTTTACTTTTGTTTTGGTTCTAAACATGATATCTCACTTCATTTTATTTTTTATATTTATCTATTTTTTTTAATACAATTCTTATAATAATAGTAGTTCTAACAAATATATTTAATTAGTAAGAATTTTTTTAAAAAAATAATAGATACTTATTACAAATAATTAATTTAACTAATTTTTTAATCTATTCAAATTAATTAATTAATTAATTTTATATTAAAAAATAGAGGTGGTATTATAAATTAATTTTATCGCATCTCGTGGAAAAATACGCACCGCGCCGCTTGCTCTCATGGTAATGATGCTCTATAAAGGACACTGAACAACCACCCGCCTTACACATTAACACCTCACCATGCTTCAATGCCGCCAAAATCACTAACTATCACAATCCGTAGAAACGGCCTAAAAACGATCCCCACCGAAGCGTTTCGAGAACGAATGCCAAGTCGCTGCCTCGCTTCCCACCATGGCAGTAGTTCCCGCCAAACGATTCTCGTTGAGTTCACCCCAACCCGCTTCCACTGCTGGGTCGACTCTTAATCTTAAGAAGCGGGTCATAGCTTGCCTCAACAAACTCTCCGACCGAGATACTCTCGCCGTCGCCGTCGCAGAGCTCGAGTCCATTGCTTGCACCTTGAGCCATGACACCTTCTCGACGTTCCTCTCCTGCATTCATAACACTGATTCCTCGTCCAAATCGCTGGTTCGGAAGCAATGCGTTCATCTGTTGACCGTTCTCTCTCACTTCCACGGCGACGCCCTGTCTCCATTTCTTTCTAAGATGATCTCCACCGTCCTCCGTCGCCTCCGTGACCCTGACTCCGCTGTTCGATCTGCCTGCGTCGATGCTATTGCTGCAATGTCGTCTCGGATCACCAAACCGCCGTTCTTGACGGGGTTTTTGAAGCCGTTCATGGAGACTCTCACGCAGGAGCAGGACGCCAACTCGCAGATGGGCGCGGCGCTGTGCCTTGCGGCAGCGATTGAGTCGGCGCCGGAACCTGACGTTGAGGCGCTGAAAAAGAGTGCTCTGCCTAGGCTGGGGAAGTTGCTGAAGAATGAGGTGTGCAAAGCGAAGGCGGCGTTGTTGGTGCTGATAGGGAGTGTTGTTGGTGTTGGTGGCGCGTCGAACCACGTAGTGTTGAATTGGCTGGTGCCGTGCCTTGTTGAGTTTCTGAGCAATGAGGATTGGACGGTCAGGAAGGCAGCGGCGGAGGCGTTGGGTAAGGTTGCTCTTGTGGAGAGGGATCTGGCATCTCAGCATAAGGAATTGTGTATGAGTTCGTTACAGAACCGAAGGTTTGATAAGGTATTGAACTTCGTTTTTTCTTATTGATGAATAAAACCTTGTGACTAACTCATATTACCTAGAAAATAGTGTAGGTAGAGAATCTATACTAAATCGCTTCGTTGCCTACTCGTTTTGAGGCTAAATAAATGTAAGGAGGGGATTTTTAACTTTTGTAGCAACTAAATTTCTTGAGCCCCTCCTTCTCCCAAAAAAACGAAAAGGTACATGGGAGATTGATCGATTTCCGTTGAAGTTTTTTCAAGTGTCTTGATCGGGACCGAAATGTTGTAACAGATCAAGGTAGTTCGGGACACTATGAATCGTGCCATGGAGATGTGGAAGGAGGTAACAGATTCAACCAAGGATGATTCTGCTCCTGCAACACCTGCACGTTACTCAGATGGTAAGGCTTTAATATTCAGAAAATGATCATGCTAATTGATTTGCTCTTCTTCATTTAAACTGTTCAGATAATCTCATTTCATCTTCTTTTCTTTTTCTGCTGGTTAACCTCCATGTCACACGGTTACTGGGACTTAGACATTATAAATCATCTGTGATTCCGATTTTTTCTGTTCCAAGTTGGCAGTCATGAGTGGAAGCGTTAAAAGGGGACGGATAAATTAGAACAGTAGAAGTAAGAATAACTTAATCTGTGGAAATTGTTTTAACAAGAAGTGGTAAGAATGTAAAGGAAAAAATCACACTAAAACAGTTTTTTCAACTTCAATTTTATTTTCTTTAGCTTCTTTTCCATCACCGCCGTCTTTTATTCTATCCATTTTGTTATTAAACGATAATTGAATTATGAAAAATATTATCATCAAGCGTAGAATTTGAAGTTAAGCTCTTTTTCATCTTAATTCCTGTACCTCTTGTTTAATGCAGACCATGCGAGAAGCAGTCTAATTCCTGTTTTCCGTTGTTGGCTTTATTCATAGGTCCAGATTATGGTAAGGAGCAGCGTTCCGTTAAAAGTTCAGTGGATAGCAGCCTGAAATCTGCTCAACCAAGGAAAATAATCTCCACCAACAAGCCCCTTCCATGTGAGGTTTCATTTGTATCAACGGCCAAAAGAAAGAGCTTTAGAAAGAGCAAGGACAAGAAGCTAAATTCGGTGATATCACGTGAGCTGGACCATGAATTGTTTGATAGGAAATTCGAAACTCCAGATTCAAATTCCTTCCCATTGAATATGAAGAGGGAAGATGACATTAAAAGGTGTGGTTTAGAAGTTTCTAAACCATGCCTGAGTCAGAACTGTGAGAATCCAAGAACAGAAGCCAGGCGCGCCCTCTTTAGCAAGAAATCTGATGAGAAAGTGCATAAATCTGGTGGTTTAAGATCAGGGTTTCGCGTGGTTCCATGTTGTGAAGACGACATCCCTCACTCACAATTCATGTTGGACAATAATGTAAATGAAGCTTGTGAGAACCCGCAAGATGTTGAGACTCTATCTTTGATCCGTGAACAGCTTAATCAAATTGAAAACCAGCAATCCAATCTATTAAATCTCGTCCAGGTACATTACAATGGCTGGATATGCATGTTTCTGAAAAAGCTACTCAAAACCTCTTCTGATAACCCTGTCCCCATTATAGCACCTATCTAGGTCAGTGCTGTTACTTTCTGTGTCAGCTCATTCCTCTGGGTTTGTCAAAAAGGCTCAACATGTATTTAGGTCTTGTGCTGATTCCTAAAAATTTTCCTGTGTATTTTTCGATGAACACTGTCTAAAACAAACTTTTTCTTGCATGCAAAGCATCATTGGCAATTCTTGTGGCTACAGTATTTGTTCTTACGCAACATTCAAGACTTATGTCTCTCCCTCTTGAAAACAGCGATTCATTGGAAGCTCCCAAAGTGGGATGAACTCTCTGGAGACACGTGTACGTGGCCTAGAGACGGCTCTGGATGAGATATCACATGATTTGGCAGTATCACGTGGCAGGCTTAGCAAGACTGATGCTGCAGAAGATATGTGCTGCAAGCTACCTGGTTCTGAATTTCTGAGTTCCAAATTCTGGAAGAAGACAGAAGGACGGTGTTCTACCCCAAGGCTCTATTCAAGAAACAAATTATCACCAGATGCCGTGCATGATATGGCTGACAAAGAAGGTGGTGTTGAAATGTTCACTCTAAAAGATAACAAATTTCGCCATCATGGGGTAGGACTGTATGTGAACCCACTGGCAGATGGTCGAAGTGATTCAAAGGATCATTTAAGGCAACGTTCGTGTAAAATGCCTAAGGACATTGTCCAGGGTACTGAGAGAACGCTAGGTTACAATACCAGCAAACATGATGGCATTTTACTAGCTGCATCAAGAAACTAGAATTGCAGGTACACAGTGTGTGTGTGGGAGAGGGAGAGATTTTAGAAGTAAATATATTTGATTTTAGCAGTAAATTGTTAATGTGGGGAACAAAACTTCTTGAAATTTTGAAGAGCTGAAACATTAAAGGTGAACAAGAAAGTGGAAGAAATACCTTCCTGGATTATGTTGGTGATGGGGAATCGAAACTTCGAAAACAGAGAATTAGTTTATATTTTCTTGGGTAATTTGTGGTAAGTATATTGTCAATCCGTAGGACACTAGTGTTTTTGGATCCTCTAACTTGACAATTTGCCTGCATATAATGCATTTGGGGAGAGGTAAAAGAGAAAGCAGAGGAAGAGTGGAACTTATAATATGGATTATGCAATGCACAACCACATTTATATTGTTCTTTATTAAGTCACGACTATTTAACTGCAGGGGATTCATTTTTCTAGTGTCTAGGCTGTAACTTGTGAGGGTTGTGTATTCTTTTGCTGATGCGGTTGTTCTAGATAGACGTTAACGATTATTTTTTTCTCTGTAAATTTTCAGATCTTTCAAAGACGTAAAGGCAGATATGTTGACGATGTTGAACATGAAACTATAATCTGCTTTGTTTTGAACACCCGAAAATGTTGTCTCCTCTGCCATTGTTCATAGAGGCAGTGACAGTGTGGATGAGACACAGACTCAGAAGGCCAGAAGTTCTTTTTGATGTGTAGTTTAGGAATTCAATTGATATGTACCATAGTTATATTATGTTGTACTTGTAATATAATAATATCTTGGGCCATCTTTAGTGTAAAGGGAAAAAAAAACTTGATCGTATGATAGAGTTACGAACGCTCTAAGAAAAGATGAAATTAGCCCAAGTCTTTCTGTGTTCCCACTGGGGTATTGGGCCGGGTCTGGGGTTCACTGTAATAGAGTAGAGGCCCATGGAGATGTTTATGAGCGAATACATGCAACGTCTGTATTAAAACAAGTACTACCTCCGGTCCTAATTATAAGAGCTAGTTAGCTAATTTGAGAAGATTAAGAAAAAAGTTAAGTTAGTTATTTATCATAAATAAGTGTTGTCTTTCTTAAAATATCCTTGCTAATTGAGTGTATTGGTTAGAACTATCATTGTTAGCATGATTATCTTGGAAAAAAAAAACATGAATATTAGAGACAAAATGGATTGGATTCTTATATTTAGAATTAAAATAAAAGTCCAACAAGGTCCTATATGAAGGATTGGAGCTAGTATTAGGAATCTACCCAAAAAAAAAAAAGTATTTACGGATAAACAACGGTAATGAAATTGAAAAATCTAATTCAACAGATTAACCAGCTTGGGTTCTATAGAAGATGTTATTTTCTTATAATATGGCAAACCAATACTGGAATTACTACCGAGAGACGTATTCATATTTAGTGGCTAAGTAAAATTGTATTCAATAGAAGAATACATGATCTTATAAAAAAATTCAATATCAATATATTAGAATGAGTAAGTTATTCTGTACTTGAAATAAAATACGAAAAACTCTCCAAACCATATATTATACTTAGAACAAAGACAGAAATAAATGGATCTTGAAATTATCCGATTAGAATATAAACGAGAAATGAACTAATTTACTTAGATAAATTACAAGAAGTAGTAGTTGGGTGCAGTTCATAGAACGTGGCCCAGTTTAGTATTATTTTTGGGACTGAATATTGGAGCCCAATTTAGTTGAAAGATGATATGCACATGAAATGATGGAATATTAAAAGTATGTGCCATGTCCTATTAAATTCATAAATAAGAATGATGCCACATGTGGTTACAGAATTGAAGTGACAAATGACAATTGCTGAATTATTGGCTTTAATCCGGTAAGTAGAGAATCACTGGGCTAATCTCCCTATCAAATTGATTTGCACAGTGATGTTATGAAAGCACGTTTGATGGCTGCCTTTCACCTTCCCAATTTTAATGGCCCCTTCATTTAGAAGATTTCATGATTCCTGTAACTATAGCCTTCCTTTAAGAAAAGAAAACAATTTTAACACTTCTCATAAGGAAAAAGATGCACACACTCATCTATCTATTGAATTAAAAAGTTCTTGATACCTTCATTAAGTTACTCTTCTTACAATATTTCTTAAGATTTTCTTAAGATGTTCAATTTAAAACTACACATATTCTTTACCCATGGTTCATCACTTGTGAATTATGCAATTTCCTATTAATTTTATTATATTTATTTATTGGTATATCCATACTATTTATATCTCATATATATTATAATTACATCAAAAAGCTTGAATCCTTAACTTTTATCCACCTCATCTTCTTCTTATCAATTGAGTTAGTCCAGTGGCTATATCTATATTTGAAAATATGAAATGTTTGTTGGAACTTGCAAGTTTTCTAATCTTGTTACATTAGAATCATGGTTTATTTCAACATTCCGTTTTTCATAGGATTGGAACTATTTAATCTCATATGACATTCCATTTTTGCTTTGATTTTGTTTTATAGTGTGATTTTTCATTGATTAATTCGCTTGGACAAAAATTGTGAAAATCCATATACCAGGCATGTTATGAAATTTAGTTATAGTGCTTAACCGATAGGATTAGAATCACCTTCAAAAAAAAAGTACATGTTTGCAAGCAAAAATGAAGAACAAAAAAACCTAATGATGGAATATGGAATCATGGTTGATTAGGATTTTCAGACATTTAGGATATTTATCATTATTAGGAAATATTTAGCTTTAATTTTAATTTGATTGTGATCTTTTACTTGTTATTTGCATTCAAATTTAAGATTGTAGAGCTTTTTATCATTAAAATCTTGGGTTATCCTGAGATATATAAATAGCACTTCAAGTTATTTGCTTTGCATACCTTATGATTTGAACAAACATATTATTGAGTTTCTCTTTCTCTAAATTCTGTTCTCTCTTCATTCATCTGATTTCTTCCTCTTTTTTTGCTATCCTCTCCCCTCTAGTCTCTCTCTTCCCCTTCTTATCCTCTCCTTTCTCCTTCCTCCTCTCGTCCTATATGATCACCTATGGTATAGTTATTATTATGTTTATAACTACATAAGTAATAATCAATTTTTGAAATAGGCTAGTGTCTCTTTTTTTTTTTTTTGATAACAAAAGAACCTCAACTAAGCCTATTGTCTACTGCCGTGGCGCATCTTGTCTCATGATGGTAGCCAAGTCGTCGGGAATACAATCAACCACGTTGAATCCATGCATCCCTCCAAGACCCATTTTTGCTAGGTAATCTGCAACCGCATTTCCACGTCGATGAACATGTAGGAGTTTAACCTTCCAATCCCGCCTGCATAACTGGTGAGCCTCACTGATAATCTTATACTCATGGTGACTCTCATCGGGTTGATTTGACAGCAATTCGATGGCATTTGCTGAGTCAGATTCCAAAATAACCTTCTTGTATCCCGCGTCCCACGCCATCTTGAGCCCATGGAGACATCCCCAGATCTCAGCCGTCAATTCGTCTCCTTCATCAAATCTGTAAATGAATCCTTTTAGGAAGTCCCCTGTAGCATTCCGTATAAGGCCCCCACAAGCAATTGCATGAGATGAATAGGAGTATGCTCCATCTATGTTTACTTTTACCCAACCTTCTCGAGGGGCTTGCCAACATTCTGCCGTCATGTAGCGAGGAGCTCCTGAAATGGTGGATCCTGTGAGACTTCGCTGAGCATGTCGGATACTGTATAGCTGTGCTTTAGAGTTACTTATCACTGTCTCATCGTCGACTCTTTTCCCTTCAAAGATGAAGAGGTTTCGTCTACGCCATAACCACCAGATGATTATCGCGAACTGCTCGTTCCAGCCTTCTCCATTCGTAGACCTCTGCCTTAGATTCCACCATAACCAGTCATAGAAGCCCAGAGAACAAAATCTCCTCCAGTGTGAAGGGTGCACCAGACGGCGCCAGAGAAGCTTTGTTTGTCTACATTCTCGAAGAACGTGAATAATATCTTCTACCTCTCTATCACAAACCGGGCAACTTCCATTCTCAGTTAGCCCTCGATATTTCCAAGCAGCATTCGTTAGGAGACTCCCACGAGAAGCAAGCCAAAGGAAGGTTTTGTATCGTTGCGGAACCCGTAACCTCCACAGTCTCTCCTATGATGAATTAGGTTCAATATGTTCTTGAGACAATTTCATGTACGCTAATCTAACAGAAAACTTACCATCTCTTTCCCATCTCCATTTGGCAGTGGTTCCTTCCTCATTAAGCTCAATACTACTCTTAACTCTTTCCCACGTTTTTTTAATCCCAGACCAGACAGTAGAGCCACATCTTGCAGGGTCAACCTTTGGAAGAATGTCATTACCCCATCTATATTTGTCTCTCATAACCCTGACCCATAACGGGTCTCGGCGTTTAACCATCTGCCAGCCCATTTTCATCAAAAGTGACTGGTTTTGGTATTTTGCGTGCTTCAGCCTGAGACCACCGCGTCGTTTCTCCAAGCAGACCGTGTCCCATGCTACCAGAGGAATCTTATTGTGAGTGTCAGAACTCCCCCACAAGAAACGCCTATTATTTCGATCCAAGGCCTCTTGCGAAGACGAGGGGAGTAGCGCCGTTTGCATAACATGTCCTGGGATCGCTGAAGTGACTGATGAAATCAGAGTCGCCCTTCCTGCCAGCGATAGCGCGTTCACCTTCCATTGTGCTAGTCGGGTTTTGACTTTCTCAACAGTACCTTGAAATGAATCCTTGTCGACACGTTTATGCAAGAGGGGTACACCAAGATATTTCCCAAGTCTGCTGTTTGTGTGAACTCCAACAGAGAGCTTATCTCGCTACACCTATTATGATTCATGTTCGAGGAGAAGAGGACCCGAGTCTTTTGAGTGTTAACATTCAAACCTGAACTTTCACAAAAGATATCTAAGCACCGTTTGATTAACTCAGCCTGACCCACCGTAGCCTCTGCTAATAAAATAATATCATCAGCGAAAAATAAATGTGAGAGCGGGGGTCCATGCTTTGTTAGCGTTATTTGTTTCCAGTGTCCTGCTTCCATATGTTCCTGGATCAAATGAGTCAATCTCTCCATACAAATGAAAAATAAATAAGGTGACATTGGATCTCCTTGTCTACTCCTCTAGAAGATTGGACATGATCCGCCTTGCTGCCATTCCACAGAAGTTGTAGACTAGCTGAATTGACACAGCTCATGATTATCTCAATAAATTCCAGCGGCAGCTTTAATTCTTTTAAACACTCATTTAAAAAGTTCCAATTAACCCTATCATAAGCCTTTTCAAGGTCAATTTTGATTGCCATGAAGCCTTTCTTCCCTTTCATAGTTTGCATAGAATGAACCACCTCTTGTGCTACTATGATGTTATCTGAGCTATGGCGTCCAGGTACAAAGCCACATTGGTTGGGAGAAATAATATGTGACAAAAAACTCTTTATTCTATTTGCAATAATCTTTGTAACAGCCTTAGAAATGACGTTGCAAAGGCTAATAGGCCTAAGATCCTTAAAAGTCTCCGGAGGCTCTTTTTTTGGAATAAGAACAATGAGCGTACCATTCACGTCTTTGATTGCAGAAGCATTGGCAAAAAGAAATCTGACAAATCGCACAATAGAGTTCCCTATATTATTCCATTGATTTTGGTAGAAAAGAGCATTAAAACCATCGGAACCCGGCGACTTTAGCGAACCTATGCTAAAAATTGCAGCCTTTATTTCACTTTCACCAACCTCACGGGCACAACTTTGAATGTGGATGTCATCAAGTAAGGGGTA